AGATCTATAGTCAGCAACTGGAATGTTTAAATCAAGCCCTTCATCAGAAATGCCCTTGACTCGTAAACATGTGGCACATTTGACGCAACACAAGATTATGGAGTTGGGTTGAGGTTCTCCCCCACCCACCATATTCTACAGATATGGCACCATCAGATTACCATGTTTTTTTTTTTGTTCACTGCAACACCATCTTAATGGGAAAAAGTATGCAAATATGGAAGGTTTTTAAAAAGGACATTGATATGTTTTTGCTTCAAAGCTAAGTTATTTCTTTATTCAGGGCATTAACAACCTGAGTGTAAGATGGAAAAGTATCATCGATAAGAATGGAAACTATTTAATTTAATGTTATGTCTTGATATATAAGTTGTTCAGGTTTTGTCATCTAAAAAACAGCGACATTAATTTCTTGAGGACCTAATAGTAATATAGTTCTAAACTAAATATGCAATTTTTCAGCCTGATGAGCTAGATCCTGGACAAGTCTGAACAATTCATTAAGAACAGCTCACAACACTGAAAAAAAAGAGATAACTTGAAGTGATTCAACCAAGAGACATAGATCTATACATATAAAACTATAACTGTGCATGTAAAGAAAACTAATAGATTATCATCTATGTCACTTTACCAACTCATACATATAAGGTAATACATAAAACAAAAGACTGCATCTTCAATAACTATTACAGAAAGAAAACAAACAAGCAAACTAGTAATACATGTAACTGCTAGTTATTATGATAACTTTATAAGTGACACACAACTTACCAAAGAATTACCATTTATTTCTACAATATTTTTCTAATCTATTTATATAACAAACTGCTTGTGAATACATTAAATGGTCAGTTATATGGTTCCTAACATCATGAGTCGCACAAACAAATGAATATTACAACCAATCCTACTAATTACTATTGGGTTCACTTGCATGTTTTAACTAGATAAGCTATATGTAATGAGTGAAATAAAAATTCAACTTGTAAGTAATTTGGTGTAGGATAACATGCATTTACTCACTTGACATGTTTACTATTGGCTCAGTTGTAATTTTTCAACATTTGCACATCCTAAGTTCAAAACAACAAACCTGAAATGAAGACCCCTTTATTTCATAGATACAGTAGGTTCTGTGTATATTAATATTTATGAGGTTTGTGTCATAGCTGCCATATTCAACTAAACTGTTTTTTACATATTACTTCAGAAAAAAAAAAAAACATTAATTATTTTTATTCTACAGTTAAGTTCTAGTAATAATAAGTTATTTGAAAAAATAAAACTTAATTTTAAAAGCTATTTCTTTAAGTGAGTTATAATTATCACAACTGATTTGAGAAATGCTTCAAAATTTTAAGATTGCATTTGTACACAAATTCAATGTATACAACAATATATATAAAAAAACTACCCTAAATCACTCTTATAATCCAAGTAAATAGAATGTTAGGCTTAAAATTAACAGAATTAAAGCACAGAAGATTTCAACAATATGATGGTACATGAATATTTAATTATATTTCAAAGATTGTTTGTTTTTGAATTTCGCGCAAAGCTACACGAGGGCTATCTGCGCTA